CATACTGGCAGGCATGGGAACCAGGGCAGGGGTTGGGCCTGGTGGGGGTTATTGTGGGTCGCTCCAACTAGGCTGCAGCTATCACTGGTTTGCGTGAGGGCCGAGTATGTGGTACGAAGGACTGAGCTAGGTTCCAACACCCATTGGTTTGTGTAGAAGACAGGGCTGGAGGCAGAACTGATCCAGCAATTGCAACTACCAGCAGATGCATAAGCATATGATTGGGGCGACAGACTGTGCAAAACCCTGCATTGACATGCACACACAAGAATCAGGTTTGGGATCACCTCAGCTGAAATTTCTTTGGGGATCCCCCTAACTGAATTGCTGGACTCAGAATCCTATCCAAGAAGAGAATTGCGAGTTCCATGGTCTGACCGTGGAGTGCATGAGTCAGAACTGGGTCTCCTCGGTGGTTCAGACAGAGCAATAGACTGCATATCCAGGAGAATAGAGAGGATATGGCAGTACATTGGAGGCTGCGGAGGACTCATGGTACCACGACAGAGGACAGAACAAATGGATCAACTGCTCCAGCCATGTGTTGGCAGTGAATATCTGGGCAAACAGAAACTCTAACCAGTGGATTCTGGAGCAATTTCATCGTGCTTAGAGTGGCAAAATCAGCAGTGATTCAGAACTCTTGAACTATTGAAACCTCTTGAGTAGGACCCTCAGAGAATGCCCTTGATTGGGAGCCCTGGGGTGGTGTCAGGTGGCTGTCCTCCATCCCAGGGTGCAGAGGCGTTTGGGAGGCTGGGTGTGGCTTCTCTGCTTGTTCCCCACCCTTCCCCCAGATACAGGAAGGAAAAAAAAAAGAGAGAGAGAGAATGTAGAAATGGTGATCTCACCCACGTTTCTATAGCCCTTGACCATTATCACCCTAATCAGCTATCATCAAAAAGGAATATAATTAATAATAAGAAAGAATAATACACTTCATTCCTATGAAACAGTGATAAGCCATGGAGATAATATTGGGCACTATTATTATATCTAACACAATACTATATACCCTTCTTGTTCTTGGGTATTTGTATTTACTCAGTTCTAAACACACCACCACCTCTGGTTCACAACAATTTTTATTCCCATTTTACAGATTAGGGATATGAGGTATAAATTAATGTAAAAAGCTCACTCATGGTTATAGAACTCACCAGTGCTGAGAGTGAGGTTTGGACCCTGGCAGTGTCCCCCTAGAGCTTGGGCCTTTGACCATTTTATTGTCCCGACATTGGAGCTGATACACTGTCTAGGTTCTAGAAAACACTCAAAGCCATCAAACTTTATGAATGGAACATCAACAACAATAAACATCCAGAAGTAACCTCACTGCTGGTATAAGTAGCATTTTGGTCTGAATAATTTTTGTTCCCATTATTCATTCATAGAAACCTCAGCAAGAGACAAGAAATGCAATAAAACTGAAGGAAGAAACAATCCTATGAGGCCTCTGACATTCTTGAAAAGCTGGACTCAGGAAGGAAAGGAAACCTTGCATCAACGAGGTCCCTGCATTCCCATTTAGGGCAGTGCCAGTCACAATAGCCAAAAAACCACACCAACGTTGGTGTCCACTGACAGATGAATGGATTCGAAAATGGGACATACATATGCCCAGTGGAATAGTAACAGGCCATAAAAAGGATTGAAATTTGTCATTTGTAGCCATTTGGCTGGAGTTCAGCTTAAGTGAAATAAGTCAGGCCCAGACACAGGCAGGTAAATACCACTTGCCCACATTCTCACATGGAAGCTGAAAGAGTGGTCATCATAAAAGTAGAGCGTCAATAGTTATCAGAAGTAGGGGCTGGGGAAAGGGACATGGAAAGAGGAGGCTTAATAGGCACAGAGGTGCTGCTGGAGAGAGGGAAGAACCAATTTCCTGTAGGATAACAATGGCTGACAACATTTAATTGCGTTTTTTTCCCAAAACAACTAATAAGATTTTGAAAACCCCAACAGAAAGAAATGATACATGTTTGAGGCATTGCATATATCAGTTACACCGATCTGATCCATACACATTGCATAATGTATTGAAACATCACACTGTGTCTCATAAATATGTGCAATTACGCATCAGCTAAAATTTAATTAAAAAATTTAGTCCCAGGCCTGTGCATTCAGACCCACCTATGCTCATGCACCACACTTATTACTCCTCATGGGACAGTTTCCCTTACGCAGCCTTGCAGGGTTACTAGGCTGAGCCTCACACGCACAATGTGATTGCATGTGAGAATTTTCCACAGGAAGTGCTGTCCCTGGAGTTGCTTCCTGGAAAAGCATCTGTTGTTAATAGGGTTTGGAGATCTGGCCGTGCTGTATCTGCCTCTGATCGGATCACAGGATGCTTGGGCCTGGTCCAGGGTCCCAGGAAGCCTTCCACCCATGAAACCTGTGCCAAGGTGTAGAACCTTGAGAGCATCCATGGGTGCTTTTGCAAGAATGCATTTCCAAGGAAAGCTGTTGGGGGTTAGCTTGTCTGGGAGGAAGATGATTCAAGGTAGGAAATGTGAGTAAGGAGCAAATTGAAATCCCCAGAACCCACAGTGCAAGTGCAGACTAGTCCTGCATGTGCACCTTATTCTACAACTACATCTCCTCTTTGCAAAGACTCATCCAAACCTGTGTAATGGAAATACACAAAAGGAGCCGGGATGTTGATGATGGCAGACCAAACAGAAGCTCTGACACATCAGTGATCTTATGAGCAGTCAGATCTTACATGCATTTACCCTTCTCCCTTTCAGAAAGAGAAAAAGGACCCAGGCTGCTCTGAATTGGATCACCTAAGGAGAGGAAGGAGATGGGGCTGAGCCCCTTCATGTGGACTTCAGAACTACAGTTTTTAAGGTCCTCTGGACTTTGTCTTTTCAATTTAAGAAACAAAAGTAGAAAAATCAGCAAAGAATATGTCATTTCCATGGCAATATTGCATTATCTTTTATTTATCTTTTAATTCAAAAGAGGCTCTATTTCTTTCTTTAAGCTTTCTTGAGATACCTGGGAATTAAAAAATAAGTTTAGCCTAGAAAAAAGTGGGCATTCTTCTCGCCTCATCTGTAGACACAACTGTAAGCTCATCTGATTTGGAAATATGTTCCTTTGCCCTTCAAGTCCTTAAGAGTTTCTAGAACCTTTTTATAGACATCAAGTGGAGAGGGTGGTTCTAGAGAGACTTCTCCACCACCAGCAGTCCCTTTTCATCTCCCAGCCACCTCACATTCAGCTCTGGATGCTGTGGGGAGGGAGTCTATGAGCATACGTGACTGCTTGGAGGACTGCAAAGTAGGAAATGATTTGTGTTTGGGGCTATAAATTCACTTCTTTGAATCACTTTAAATGGGCAGAGAGGGAGGTAGCTAAAAATGTTCCCGAAAGAAAAACGCTTCCCAGGAGTAGGGAACATGAGATAAAAGGAGAATTTCAGTCTACGTCAGTCAACCCTCCTCCAGGTATGGACTGATATAGCCAGATACTTGGCCTTCAGCCAGTTCATGCACAGTAAAAAACAAAACTAACAATAAGCAATACATTTGTAGGCTTTCTGATGAATAATATAACATTTTTCAGAACTGAAGGAATTCCAGGTTAACCATGTAACTGGAACTTTTGTCTTTTATTTCTCAGATTTTGAACAGAAAAAAAATCTAGAATTTACATGCACAAGCTATGTCAATAAATGGAAGCTATATAGCATGTACCATTTGTTCATTGTATCGATATGTCAAATGTAGTAAGTGACTACCTAACATTCTATACTCTTCATGTATTCTAAATAGTCTATTACAGTACATAATGAAAGTATTTATTTATTTACTTATTTGTTCATTTGAGAGCTAGAACAAGGAGGGGGGAGAAAGATCAGTATCATCTACGGGTTCCTTCCTCCAATGTCTGCAACAGCTGGGGCAGTGCTGAAAACCCCAAAGGCAGGAACCTGAACTCAATCTAGGACTCCCACGTGGCTAAAAGGAACCCCATGGCTCCTAGAGTCTGCCTGCGCAGGAAGCTACCATCAGCAGCCAGAGCTGGAGGTGGGATTCAGGTCCTCAGATGTGGGCTGCAGGTGTTCCAACTGGATTCTCAATGGCCAGGCTACATATCCACCTCATGGAGGTGTTTTAAATGGATAGACAAGAGGAGCTGTTCCCCAAAACCCAAAATTCTCTTTGAATGTGTATCATTTCAGTTTAAACCATGCTTTCTCTTAAGGATTTCATACATATTTAGAAGGGGGATTAAAATCAGCATGTGTGAGCATGTGACGGATCTGCTGGATCTAGTTGTTAACAATGACTCTCAACTTGTTTCTATTTCTACGAAAGTTTTAAATTCATGGAAATTTAGAAACATGTTGTTTCCATAGCAGCAGGTAAAGAGTAAAACTAAAGGGATTTCTATTGATTTTAACAGGGCTTAGAAATTTTGTTCTCTCTTTTTAGGAGTGATTTTGCTCTTTTTTCCCATACAACATCTCATTTTATCTTTTTGAGTAAATTGTTTAAATTCGAAAGTAGGTAATTGTCACAGTACAGTAAAATTACACATTCCTTTGGTAATGCAGGATAACCAGTATCTAATTATTGATGTCAAAGAGATGTTAAACTTTGGAATCAAGATCACAACATTAAAGACTGTAAGCAGTATCAGTTTCACACAAATAAAACAGCATTGATTACAAATATGTTTGGGTAAGTTGTCAATGATTACAAGCACAGCACTAACACTTGCAGATGCAGTCAACTTATTAAGACTCAGCCCCTTGGAGCTGGGCTTTGTTCTGCAAGTTTGATGGCTACAAAATCACGTGTCTTTTGTGGTCAATGAGGCAGTACAATAGGGTAGCACTGACATCAGCAGCCTAAGGATTCTATGTTTCCGTGCTAAGGAACAGAATCTCTTCTTGTGAGCATTTGTTGGTTCAGTCGTATAGCTTCTACCTGTCACTCTAATTTTTTAAGATCCCTAAGCACAGAAAAATGGCTCACCTGTAACAGACATGCAGCCTAATGGCGCGATGAGGGTCACAGGAGCGAATCCATAGGCTGCAAAGTTTCCTGTCTCCCCGACGGCCATCAGCGCCACTCCGCCCCACCACAGCACGCTCTTGAAGTATGGCTTTGGGTGCTCCTGCCGAGCCAGCTGCAGGTGAGAGTACTTCTGGAAAAAAAAAATCAGAATGTAAAGAAGAAAGCATTTCTCCCTAATGAAAACGTGCCTGAAATTTTGGGCCCTCTAACTTTGCCTCATGACTTTCATGCTGATGCGTGGGTGGTTAACAGAATAGTTCTCGTGGTTTCCTGTGTGTTTCAAATGTATTAATGGCACAAGGGAGTTACATGAGTATAGCATTTTGTATTTTGAAGGGCCTTTTTACAAACGGATGCTACTTAGGTCTCCTGACAACTCTAAAATATGTATTACTATGTTTAAAGATGAGCATTATATTGAGGAATTAGAGACTTTTTAGAACACTCTCCCCAGTTCTTTGAGAATTTTGTTAAAGAACTCCAGATGCCAAAATAAACATTAATGAAACACCAATAATAAGTTATTAAAGTAAAACATTTTGAAACGGGTTCAGATTTATGGGTCAAAGTACATATCACAATAAACACAGCAAAGAAGAATGCTTTTGGCAAACCCGTGGGGGTACTCTGACATATATCTGTAAGCGTGTATTTCTAAATACATAAATGGTTTCCTGAAAAACCATTCATTAGATAAATCTCAATTTCCCTATTTTTAATGATAACATGCTTCCATGTGAGACATACATGCAATCTGAAATTACTTCCATTCTTTTCTGAAACAAGTTAATAAAATATGAGAGGAAAACACCAAACACCAAAAACATACATCTTTCTAACTATGGCACCAAATTCCTTAAGCCAGAGAAACAATGACTGCTAAATTTTACTGTTAAAGAAAACTGCACAGAAAGATTAAAAAAAATGGAGAAAATTAAGGCTTAAAAGAGCAGAGTAAGAGAACCCAGCTGATAAAGGCAAAGAACACGAGATACTTTGCCAAGGACATAAAAACGTGTAATTTATAGAGATAAAACTGCAAATGGAAAGGATTTGCTCCCGATAAATAACTAAAGGAATGTAAACAATCTGAAACATTGAAATACTCCATCAGATACATTTTCAGTCCTCACTAAACTCATTAATGCTATATGATATTGATTATATACAGTGACTGCCCGTGTCACAACCTCCATAGACAGCTATTTGGCTCTGTAGAGCAATCTTGAAAATGAACACAGGTTGTCCTACAGAACACTCAAAATCCATCTTCATACAAAAATAGTTACTGAAATCTTCATTATTATTGCAATACCAAATATGTTCATTTTGCCTGCAATAAGAGATGCTTACACACATTTTGGAACATCCATGTAAATATCTGTGTACTGCCCACATACACAAATGAATCTGAGAAAAAAAATGTAACTAACAGTGGTTACTTCAGAGCAATGAGAGTAATTTCACTTTTTCAGGTGTTGTTTGAGTTGGTTTTCATAAGGATAATGAGTTATTTTAATATATTTTCCAGCATTTAATACATCTCCTCCTAATAATGGAAATTTATATGAAGTTGTTTTCTAGGAAGCATTCCTCTAAGATCACATTGGAAGATACCTAGAGGCCAGGCTTGGTTCGACATCACAGAGACTGCATCAATAGGACTGCTGCAAACTGATTCGTTGATTTAAAATTTTTTAGTAAAGTACAGACAGCTTTTTGTTACCATAATGGAATGCCTGAGACTAATATGGTCTCAGACAGCTAGTCAAGGTCACGAGTTGGGAATCCACACCTCCCTTGCCTGTGTAATATTTTTGCCCACCTGTGCATAAAAGGATGCATACTCATTGTTACAGGGGCCTGGCAGGAGCGGAGTGTCGCATTGTTGTGTATCCACTCCACTCGGAAGCCCCATAAAAGCCCAAGCTAGTGAGGGGTCCACTCTGGTGGCTGTTCTCTTCACCTCTTCTGACTCGGGCTCTTGGCCTCTGGCATAGCTGCTTGCTCTCTTGCTACTCATAGACAGACTCCGAGGGCGACACAAGACGCAATCTCTCTCCGTCACCCTTTCACGTTTTGGCTCACTCTCCTGCAACATAAACCACATTGGTCTGTATTCCTCACCCTCTGAATAAACCTTATCACTTGGTTAAGCCATGTTGATGCCCTGTATTTAAAATGCTTCTTAAGTAAGAAACAAGTACCTAGGGAATAAATATTTGGCCCTAACCTAGACCACCTCAAGACAAATTCCTTATGACGTAAAGAAGCTAAAGTTGGCTCATGATTCTGGAGTTTCACAGTCCAAGGTCAAGTGACCCTGTTGGATTGGCCTCTAAGAATGGGGCAGGCGGCAGTGGCATGGCAGAGTTTGCCCGGAGGTGGATCGGCGAGCCAGGGAATGGAGAGCAGCACAGCCCAGCCACACCTAGAGCTGTCTTGGAGGATTACTGCCAGGGGCCCGAGGACTGCTCCCTTAGGCACTCAGCTCCTTATCACTATCCTTGGATGAAGTTTCACTCTCTGAGAATCAACAATTTTGAGGTTTCAAGTCCAGCATAAGTACTGATGCAAAACCATGTTCAGGCCATACAAATTCATGATCTGGTTTAAAATAAATGTTTTATTCAGCTTTCCAGTTTAGCAAGGCAGCAATTGTTCCAGGTTTCTAATCCATGGTTCAGTGAGAGAGCCTGTTTCACACTGTACATTCTTTCTTCAAGATCTTTAGTCTACACTGACAGCTGATAGCGACTTAAAGAGAGACAAAAGCCCCACAAATCTACAGCCCAATGAACTGCTTCTGAGAAAATATTTGCACTGCAACAGGGGTGAAGGCTAAGAAAAAGTAAAAATACTAAAAATAAAACTAGGGCCATTTATCCATCAGACACAACACACACCTTGCTGAGAGGTCATAACACGAACCCTGGCCAAAACAAACATTTCTTTTAAAATCAGAAAGAAGAAATGAATGCGATCCAGCTGAGATTATATCTGCATTCCTATCAATGAGGTCATAAAACAAGAATTTTTTTTTTTTTGAGGAAGAATTTGAATGCGCAAAAGTGCCCAGGACCTATGGAAGTCATAATACATTTCTTGATCAAATGAAAGAATTAGAGAAATATAATTTTTCTTACCTGAATATTCAGGGAAATACTGATCACTAAGTTCCCTAGGATGGCCAGCACAACTCCCAGCAGGTGACTCTGTAAAAAGAAAATGTTTTCTTTAAGTGATACTTTCTAAACAGTACCTCAAAGATTATCTAATGGGGATGAAAAATGATAAACTCAAGTTAATGCTGTCATTCTATCTTTCAGCTTGAGTCACTGACCATTTGCGAGAATGGCTTTGGAATATGAATATGGCTTAATTAGGACTGATTTTTTAACTTTTACTCAAAATAATTTTTGTTAAAGAAATAACTTGGTCCTTTTATTGAATTCTCTAACATTCATGTGCTTCATTCACTAAAATAAATAATTGTCAGGTTTTTATTTTATCCACAAGATGCATCTTACTTATATTTAGATTTTCCATCCTTTTTATCTTCCCTTAGTATATTCTGGAGGGCCACAGTATGAAAGCAGAAAGAAAGGGTGAATCTCAGCTACTGTTGGGCTATTTTCTATTTTGAATCACCTTGAGCAAATTCTTTTCATCCATGCCCCTTCAGCCTCAATCAAAAGAATGCATTAGGCAGAAAATCTTCAGAAATCTTTCTTTTTAATAGAAAAATGTCTTTCATGACAAAAACATATGACATAAAATTTGTTCACAGTTACGTGATATTTCATTGCATGTATACATTGTGTAATGTCTAATCGTGGTACATACATTATCCACTCAAGTAGGTTAAGTTTCTTTATTGTGAAAACTCCCAAAAATCTATCTTTGCTTTTTTAAATGGAGAAACACACTAACTTTATCTATTTTTATCTTGTAGTCACTAGAATCCCAAAACGTCTTACTCCTATCTGGCTGTAACCCAGGACCCAGCAAACAACCTTTCGCAGTCCTCCCGCTCCTCCCTCTAATTCCCTTCTCAGTCTCTGGAAACTGCAACTCTTTTTTGAGCTTCTATTTCAAGTCCACATCTGAGTGAAATCACGTTCTGTCTAGTTCTCTGTGTTTGGCTTAATTCATTTAGCATCGTGGTCTCCGTTGTATTCATATCACTGCAAACAACAAGCTTTCATCATATTTTTAAAACTGGCTAAGTAGTATTCTGCTGTGGATGTGTCCCATATGATCTTTATCCATCCGCCAGTTGATGGACACATAGGTTGTTTCCATTTTCCGGTTATTGTGAGTAGTGCTGCAATAAACACCAGAGTGAAGATGTCACTTCAACAGATGGATCGCATCTCCCTTGGATGTGACAGAAGACTTGATCACTTTATTTTCAATTTTTTTGAGGACCCTCCATGCTATTTTTCTCTAATGGCTACACGACTTCACATTCCCACTAACAGTGTGTAGGGGTTTGTCTCCATATTTCACCAACACTTGCTATCTCTTTTTGAGAATAAACAATCCTACTAGAGTGAGGTGATAGTTTATTGTTGCTTTGGTTTTCATTTTCCTGATGATTTGTGATGCTAAGCATTTTTTAAACGTGTCTGTTGGCCATTTCTAAGTCTTTGAGAAATGTCTATTTAGCTCTTTCCCCCATTTTTAACTGGATTATTTTCGGTTGAACAGGAATGCCTTGTCAGATGAGAAGTTGCAAGTATTTTCTCCCATCCTGTAGGTTATCTCTTTGCTCTATAGATTGTTCCCTTTGCTGTGTAAAACCTGTTCAGTTTGGTGAAATTCAATTTGCCTATTTTGTTTCAATTTACTATGCTTCAGGTGTCTTATTTTAAAAATCCTTGCCAATTCCAATGTCCTGAAATGTTTTCTTCTGATAGTCTCCAAGTTTCAGGACTCACATTTAACTCTTTAATACATTTTGAGCTGATTTAATAAATGGTGGAAGACAGGAACCTAGTTTCATTATTCTGCATGTGGTTATCCAATTGTCCCAGCATCATTTATTAAAAAGACTATTCCTTTACCAATGCATGTTCTCGTCATTTTTACCTCACACTATTGTACCAGGCACTGCTGCTGTAAGCTCATTGCCTAAAGCTCCATGAAACTGTCACTGCTGATGTGATCCTGTTTAACCAGCACCTTGGAATTCCAGCTGATTCTGAAGCAGGTCCAAAGATTGAGTCTGCTGGCATTGGACATGAGATAAGGACCATTACAATCTGCTTAAAGTTGGATTTTCCCAGCCTGGCACTGAATTCCAGAACAGTTCTGTGATTCTTCAGTCTGCCCAAGGTTGTAAGAGGGGTGACAGAGGCAGGTCTTCCTGCTGTAGGGGCAGGCCCTTGCTCCCACAGTCATCAAGCCCTGCACACTCATGGGCGTGCAACAGGTCATTGGTGCTTTACTTCAAAAACAAGTATGTCTCATCAGGGTTCAAGTTTTCATCTTATGTTGGAGCAAGTCTAGAGATTCCATCCTCAAGCCCCAGCCTAGGCATAGAGACTGACGGAATCTGCCCAGCACTGGGCTTTACCAGCCTGATCCCACAGAAATCCCTTTCTATGATCTCTGCTGGAGATGGGTTACATTTTCTCACCACTTCCTTGGTTAAGAACTCATAAATACATCTCCACAGGCACCTGTGTGAAATAGGAAGCTACCACACCAGCTGCCCATCGCCTGTCCTCACCCTGGCCATCCAACTGTCCCCAGCACACTTGGGATGCCCTTCTAGGACTCTGACCCACACCATACTTTGGTCAGATGCAAAACTGACTGTGACCCCGGCTCACTGCATGGTGCGTCTCCTTCCCTAACTCACTCCAACTACTCCTCACTCTCCTGGTTTTTCCCAGGCCGGCCACTGGAGACCTCATCAGATGACCTCAATCCCTCGTTACTTCCTCAGACTCCGATTTTTTCCTGTACATTGTCGCGTGTGTCACTCTGTCCTTCAAGTCTTGTGCTCCCACTGAGTCTCCCACATCATCCACTACACAAAACTAGGAGCTTAGCAAACACTTAGTTGGAAAGGAATCTAATCAAAGCCTAAATTAAAATTCCTTCACATTGCCCCAGCTGTTTGTCACAGTTTCGTGTATTACATGATCCCTGTTTGCTGTGTCCATGGAGGTACAAAGCGATGGCACTTTTCCATTGGTACAAATGAGCAATAATACCGAGGCCTCTTTCTCTCATTCTTTAGTAGATAACTTGCAGCTAAACTTCAAAATTCAGACTTATCTGAATTTCAAACGAACAGTACAGTCACAAGAAATTCTTTTCCAATGGGAAAACGTTCTTTGAAGTTTTAGAGCTTTACTATATGAGCTGAAGTGAAACGCAGTGTTTCAAAAAATGAAGCAAGGAAGTTACAAGTTCATTTATAGCTGGTCCATAATATTCATAGTCTTTAATCAGCTAGGAATTTCTTTTCCTCCTGGAGGAACTTGGCAATAATTTTGATCACTATTCCCAGTGTGGAACAATTGTATCACAGTATAATGTGCTGTTTCCATGCTTCCTATTTACCATCTAATGCGTTTGGCAGTAATCAGAAAAATAAACTTTTGGACAAAGTTGGCATTGAGTGGGTAATTACAAAAATCTTCCATAATTATTTAGAAGTAAATGAGCAGAAATAATTTACTTCAAAATACCTTAATCATTGATGACAAGATTTGGCAATGATTTCTTGTATATGACACCAAAAGTATTGGCAAGTAAAGAAAAAAGTAGGTAAACTGGACTTCATCAAGATCAAAAACTTTTCTGCAGCACAGGACACTATCAACTGAGTGAAAGATCATACCCAAAATATGTAAAATATTCACAAGTCACAAATCTGAGTAGGACTGATCTCTAGAAAACATAAGAAATGCCTAAAGTCAACAACCATCATCACCAATCTAAAGCAGGTAAAGGACTTGCCTGGACATTGCTTCCGACAAGGGGTACAGAAGGCAAATGCACACATCAAAAGGTGTTCAAATCACTAATCCTTAAGGGAATAGAAACCAAACCACAACGAGTTACCACTTCACTCCCATTAGGAGATGCATCATACATACACACACATGCATACATTTACATGCACACGTGCACACACATATATACATATACATCCATGGACACATATACCACACATCTATGCACACAGCATATGTACATATACATAAACACACATACACGCATGTGCACAGGTGTGCAGCACATACATGTGTATATACAGATATGCACAATATGCAAAATACATGGATATACACACATATGTATGCATACACACATACATACTGAAAATAAGTGTTGGTGAAGATGTAGAGAAATCAGATTACTTGTGCATTAGAGCAGGGAATGTAAAATGAGGCAGCCACCTTGGAAAATGGTGTAAAGATTCCTCAAAAAAGTGAAACAAATAATTATATAAATCAGCACTTCCATTTCTGGGTATATATCCAAAAGAACTAAAAATATTGGACCCAAACATTATTTGTACATTCATGTCCATGGCAGTGCTTATTCTTGACAAAAGCAATCAGTGTCCATCTAACCATGGATGAATGAACACAATGTGATATATTCTAAGGGGCTCTCATTCAGTCTGATAGGAAAGAAAATGCTGACACTTGTTACCACATGGATGAACCAGGAAAGCTTTGCTGCTAATTGACTCTGGCAGGTGCAAAAGGACAGGTAGTGTATGATTCCACTTACGTGAGATACAAAGATGGTACAATCCTGAAAGGGACTAGAAGGATGGTGGTCAGCAGCAGGGGCGGGGATGGGGAGTAGTTTAATGATTGGAAAGTTGGGCTATAGAAGTTCTCTGGGTGGATTGTGGTGACATTGTTTTTACAATGAAAACAGGCTCAGCGCCACAGAACCACATGCTTGTTTTTGTTTTATTACAAACGAAACTGTAGTTTGACTTGAAGAACCTAAGGAAAAGCTGAACACCTGCAGACAAGCTTCATGGCTCAGATTTAACAGTCAACATTATGCTGTCCTTCCTTTCAATGAAATACTGTCCTATCATAGGATTTCCCTCCCTTCAAGCACACACTCCTGGAAAGGTACAAATTTATTAAATTATTGATACATTAGCACAAATGTATTTAACAGATGAATCAAAAAAGCCCAGGATTGCAAAAACTGATAAAATTCCTCA